CGGGACATGGCTTTCCGGAGTGCGCAGGGCGATGGCCACACCTCCAGCCGCTGGGACGGCGGCGCGGAGAAGGCAGGTACGGAAGCCGGCCGGGGTGCCGAGGAGCGGCCTGCGGGGGCGGCCTGAGGGGCAGGGGACAGCTGTGGGAGGAGCGGGCCGGAGGGGCGCGGGCGGGCGCCGGGGTCGCGGCGGCGGGAGAGGAAGGGGCTGAAGGGCCGGGCCGCGTCTGGAGGGGAGAGAGCCTGGAAGCGGGGAGCCCTGGTGGCAGACTCGCGTCCCGGGGGAAGGACGGGGCGGGGGCTGCGTCCGGCCTCGTCACGTCTGGAGAGGAGAACTGGGGCTCCCTGATAACTGAGGCCAAGCCTCACCCCTGGTCGGAGGCTGTCCGGCCACGTCCGCAGGCCCCGGGCGCCTCCTCCCTAGTTGTAAGGCAGGTTTCCCAAACTTCATTCATCTGTCGCCGGCCTGATTTACACGGCGTGCGTGTACCACCTACTTCTTTTAATTGCCGCAGAACCACCCTTTTCAAGTGTACAGTTCAGTGGTTCCTAGTCCACTCACAAAGTTGTGCGACCATCGCCGCTCATTCCAGAACATTTCTAATTCCAGAAAGACCCCACCGCTCCCCATTCCCCAGTCTCCAGGGCTCCTCTGCCATCTACTTTCTGTCTCAATCCTGTGCCACCTAATTTAATGTTTAATTATGTAAAAAGCAGTTCTCTCTATTTTTTATATTGTTTCATACTAAGCAGTAATTTCTATGAAATCATGGTTTCCTTGTGCACTATGGTTTCAAATATGTTTTACATACATTTAGTACATGACAGTTAAAATTATTGATGTTTATTCTGTACCAAGTAAAATAATCCTTTTTCCCCCTGGGGAAGACTAAGGTAGCTTCCCTAGTTTTCCATCTTCTGATGGGTGGTGCCCATAATAGAACCAGCCACCTATTCAACCCACATATTTTGATTGGTATCCACATCTTGTTCTCTAGACTCTCTTTTTTTTTTGGTGAGGAAGATCAGCTCTGAGCTAACATCGGTTGCCAATCCTCCTCTTTTTGCTGAGGAAGACTGGCCCTGAGCTAACATCCGTGTCCATCTTCCTCCACTTTATATGGGACACCGCCACAGCATGGCTTGACAAGCAGTGCATCTGTGCGTGCCCGGGATCCGAACCTCAAGCCGCCAGCAGCGGAGCGCGCGCACTTAACCGCTATGCCACTGGCGGGCCCCTAGACTCATTTCTGATATCCCCTTTTTCTCCTTTTCTAATCCTGGGTAGAAATGGAGCTCACTCCTCATGTTACTGCTCTGGGCCCTTTGGCCTTGTAACCCTTTGCTGGTGTTCGTATGACATCTGTCCTCATGGCTTAATAGTCAGTGCCCCAAGTGGTGTGGATCTTGTGACCTGTTATAGTGCAGCTGTGCCTAGGTTGCGAGACTTTACCTCCCAGTTTTCTTGATTTTTTTCCTCTGGATGAATGGGAGGAATTTGGAGATGAGAGTTTGTTTTTCCTCTTTGTTTTGTTTTTAATCATATCGGAGAATTGGCAAAGTTATTAACACTAGAAACCCTCCTTTGTGGAGTTTATGATCAGATTGGTTTACTCTCTAGAATATTTTTCTCCGTTGTTGGGGTAAAGCAGTCTTTCGTAATACGTGCTTGTCTCCATGTTTCAGGTAGTTAATGAATCTCTGCTGATTTGGGTACTGTTTGTTGAAACTAATTAGGACCTCCAAAAACAGAGTCTGCTTTGTTTTATTTTGTTTTTAGTAGGAACCTTACTCAGAATAAGGTAAAGTTTTCCTCTTCCACTGTCTTTCTTTGG